CAATAATAGTGAGAGAAAACTAAGCCTATCCGTGGAGTCAGAAAGTAAGTAGACAATTAGGAAATAAATCAGTTAGTGCAAATATTCTGACCTGCCCTGCTCTACATCAATATTTTTGTTGTAGGACTTGACTCGGGACTAAAGATCACGAATATAAAAACGCGCCTTTATAGGTACGTATGATCAAATTGCTGAGTCTTTAAGCTCTATTAATATACCCGAAAGCCTTCATTCGCTATTGATCTTAAGAAATTGCCTGCCATTTGCGTTATTTGAAGCCTACCAATTTTGGCTCGACTACAGAATGGCAAATTTCAACTCATTCATTGAGAAGGCTTAGGGTGGTTCTTGATCCAAACATCTTTTTGTTGTGATGTATTCACACTATTTCATTTAAGTTGATAAGTGTCTGGTAATTTAGTTTTCCCATATTAGTAGGCCTGTAGGTCGAAGCTGAATTCCAACCTGGATGAGACTACCTAGGCTAATTCTTAATCCAGGCATATTTATTCTGATGTCACTTATTTACGGAAAGCTTAGCCCGTCTTCACCTGAAACGAGGGAGAAGGTCTCGTGGACTGCGTCAACCTGAACGTCGTATACAAGCCAACCGGCTGCAGTACAACGGGGTTCATTCGTTCTCTTCTGGTGAGATCGACCTATGAAGCTCTTCTTCATGCACTCTCATACGAAATGAAAGTCCATCCAACAATGTTATCTCAGGAGATTAATCGAAACCTTTCTGTTTTTATCAACTATATTTCTGTCAATTTTATTTACTCTTACATTTAAACAAAGTTATACGGTTTCATTCTTGACAAATAGTGATCTATTGGGTTTTACAAACGTGGAGATCATTCTAGCAATGCTACTATTTCTTTGAATCTAGAAAATTTTTTTTATTCAAGTGTATTTTAATTGCATTTTGAATTTTATTTGTTTAGCTCTTGCCTTAAAATTGTTTTTGCTGTTAGCAATTTTAAGTAAAATTAACTTTACCACTGAATAGAGTTTTGATGTAAGCAGCTATAGCATTTTAAAAAGCAACTTTTCTGTTAAGACCTTTACTTTTAGTCATGATTTGCTTCCTGCTAAAGATGTGTTTACTAGAGTTTCATGTATTTTTTTCAGCTAACACGCTCAGACCTCCAGTTTCCTGAACTTTATGTTGAGATGTTTCAATTGGCGGATGACGCTGCAGCCCTTGTTTCTGCGGCGGCTGCAGTTGCTACAGCTGCCTCTGCCTTAGCGACCACAGTCCCCAGCGCCTTGTTGACTGTCCATCCAGCTTCCGCTTCTACCACCTCCATTTCTGTTGCACATCCCATCTGCGACCATCATGGTGACTCGGTAGTCGCAGACTTATCATACTCTTGCCATTCTTCTGTAGCCGATAAAGAATTTAGCTGCATGGCGGCTGCAGCAGCAGCAGTTAAGCAAGTAAATCGAAGCGACTGCTTTGCGTCGGCGGGAAAGGAAATTGTTAATCTTTCCGAGCCTTGTATTGATGGTATCGGACTAATGGCTAAGGATAGAGGCGGATCAAGCCAAGACAACAATATGGTCTCCTTTCGACGAGCGGTTGATGTTTCATCAATTTTTGTCACCTCTTCCTCATCTAATTACCCTTCCTCGTCCTCTTCTATCTCCCATTCCTCTTCATCATCTTCTACTCTTTCTTCTTCCTTCTCTTCTTCCAACCCTTGTTCCTCAACATCCTTGTCCTTTACATCCTTCGCTCCATCTACCACAGTCTCTGCTTCTTCACTTGTTGTTCCTGGGCTAGTTAATAGTTCGGGAGTATCGCCAGTCCTTGGCACCAACTATCTTGCTCCACCTCGTTCAAGATTTTCCACAGCTGCGGCGGCTATGGCAGCTGGGCTGATGCCGTTTTCTTGCACCGGTGCTAGTATTAGTGATGGTGTTCCTTCTGTGACTAGTGGCCTTTTTGAACCTCAGGGAATCAGTAGCAGAGGGCGAGCAGCTGCACCCGGTGGGCATTTGCCATTCACTTTTAATTTCATTTTTCCCCTTCCCCCATCCTAGCATCCTGGGTCTTTGCTGCGCCATCCATCATTTACTGACTCTGAGGGACTACTGATATATAGTGTTGGATTGACGGCTGCTGATTTTTTTGCATTATTTTCTTCGTCATACATACTCTTCCTCTAAGCTATGCTTTATGTTCGATAATGTCCTGATCTTATATCCTCGACTCGGCTTTGTATCTTCTTAATATATTCTGTCGAGCATAGAAGAATTTCGCGACACCTTGATTTATCGTCTATTCTTGATTCACTTTATTGCAGTCTGATACTGTGTAGGAGTCAAGAGGCTGGGGTTTACTAGCCTCTAGACTACTTTATGTATACCGATGGAGGACCACTTGTGTGCATGCGCACCTGTGTATACTTGTCCGTTCAAGGGTGACTGTAAAGCCTTACAAGACTTTGATTAAGGCTACCCAAATGAGGACTATTATATGATATATTGTGCATTTTTAGAACTCATTGATAATTCTTGGTATACCTTTATGTACGGTCAACTTTTCATTTTGGAGGAAGCATTTGA